ACATCCCATTCTCATGCCAAATCTTAGGAAACTTCCTACAAAGTTGAAAAACACAAGGCATTTCAACTTCATGAAAGACCTCCCTTTCAGCCCTCTTGCTATCTACCCATAGACTGGCTCCTTCAAGAGACATAAATATTCCCTGGCTACTCTAACTGCAGAGAGGACTTGAAAGGAGCTGTGACAAAACAGGTTGGGTGGGCATTTTCTCCCTGCCTGCAGGTACAGCATGTGCACACACGAGGCCAGCAAAACACACACCCACTTTCTAGCCAAATAATGATCTCTTTCCACTAGCAAGTATCCGCAGAAATCACATTTTGTTTTCAGATCAGTTTCTGAAGGGAAAAGCACAAGAAATAAACTTTAGATTTTCCAGAGCTATTGAGGGTATCTTGAGCAGTCAGGTGGAGAGACTGGTCTTGAACATGACCTAAGGCAGACACTTAGAAGTTTAGATAAGCAGAATTAAGCAATTAGAATGTCCTCAACTTGAGTTTCCAGAAGTCTTTTATGGCACTTGGTATGTGAAACTTGCTGATGTTCATAGTTATGACAAAAATCCCAGCCACCAGAACTCAGCTGGAAAAATATCATAAATTAAATTATCTCTCATTTATTTCATAGTTGTTTTATTGCAAAATCTCTGTGGTAAACTGCTGTATACCTGGAGTGCTGAAATCAAGCACTCTTTGTTTTAAAGTCTTCAAGCTGTCAGGGGAAAAATAAAAACTAGGAAGTCCAGTTTTCATCTTTTGAATTTGAGGTTAATATTTTTATTGTTTATTCATTTATTGTTTCTTTAGAGGAACTGGCAAAACTGATCTCAAAAATGCCTAAATTTAAGAGGAATTGCTGTTGTACTATACTGCTCCACAGGGCTCATACCAGTCAAAATAGTACATAAGAAGATACACCTTGACAAATATGTGAATAATTATGAAGCTGTCCTTAGCGGTGTCTTGTATTTTGAAGAAAAACTTGTCATTGAAAATGGAGGCTGCTTTGTTGAACTGCCTGGATTGGTGAGCGAGAGACAACCCTGTACTTAGGGGGGTTGCTGTTGAACAGATGGGATCACTGTTTTGCACATGATCGTGGAATGCAGTAAAATTGTTTGGTTCTGGGAAAGTTTTCCTCCCATGGTATTATCAAAATGGCCAGAAGGCCTGGTTCTGAAATCCACAGTCCCGCATGTAATCCTCACACATGCTTGAGGAAGACACGAATTACGAAGGAAACAAAGCATAGAAACATCAATTTTGCAGAGAAATATTCTTATTTCTTGATATTAAGAAGGTGCAAAGGGAAGAAAACAGATATACAAGGAGCCTTTTTCTGCTAACAGCAGAAACGGGGGAAGGACACCATGTTACTGCCTCATAGCTGACAGCCTGCAGTGACTTCAGCACACTGGGATGCAGAAATGCTTTGAGGAGAGTTCTGTCAAAATGTCTCTCTCCAGCACCTTGACACAGCAGGCTTTCATGTCTCTCTTCCAGTTTCAAGTCACCAAGGATGGTGGTGACATCCTCCTCAGCGCAGGACGGAGGCTAGGCCACAGGTTACAAGTGTAGGCTCCTCATCCATAGAGGCCAGGGGAATTCACTCCGCTGACAGGCTTAGGGCCCCCAAAGAGCTGCAGCAAAGCTTTGCTGCTTTGCACCCGCTGAGCATCTGGCCCTGAGCCTGTGAGAAGGAGGAATTAATGTGTCTCATGCTCTGTGCAGTTCTGAGCAGCTGCTCTGAAGGACTCTGGGAACGTGTGCCCTAGCTGAAAGCTCTGGAAAGGATCGATTGTGCACAAGCATTCCAAAACTTCAGTGTTTTACAGGGCGTGAATTCAGGCTGGAAGAAATATGTAATGTAGTAAGCAGCTTCTTGGCAAATCTCTTTGCAGATCAGGTGGGTGAGGAAGAGATTATGTCCATTCCTACTGATTAAGAGCTGCATGGTGCCTGTCCATGGACTAGCTCTGATGGGATCAGGTGACCCCCGCCTGGTACAGCTATGTGCAGTGGTCTGGCTAACATGGGAGGGATTTTGCTGCGTGAATAAGTGTGAGCTCTCCCTCTGACTGGTTTTTGTCATTATTATTAATCAGGAGCTACATCTTTCAGTCTATCTTTATCTTAATATGGTAACTGCTTTAGTAGATCTGCCAAAGAAATCCTGCAAAGATTACTTAAAAAGTCATCTGATAACTTTTTTTTTTTTTTTTTTTTTTTGCTAAGAAGCTTTCAGCTGCTGTGTGTTACGTTTTTTAGAGATTGTGAACAGTAAGTCAAGATTTGTATTCTGTAGGACTGACTACCTTTGCTACAGCAGTTCCTTGTTACTTTTCCTTAATAGAAGGTGATATTCCTAACCACCTCTGAGAAGGGCTTGAGAGGGCTCTGAGGGCTAGATAGGGGGTTCAGCCTCTTATCCCTGGTAATAATGACAGGATGAAAGGGAATGGCCTCTGGCTGTACCAGTGGAGGTTGTGGTTGGATATCACAAAACATTTCTTCTCAGAAACTGTGGCGAGGCAGTGGCACAGGCTGCCCAGGATGGCGGTTGGGTCACCATTCCTGGAGGTGTTCAAGAACCATGTGGCACTGAGGGATGTGGTTTAGTGGGTAATATTGTTGGTAGGTGGATGACTGGACTAGATGATAGTGATCTTTCCAAACTTAATGATTCTATGATTCTATATAGTAAATTCCTTAAATTCAGGAATATTGAGGTAATTTATTTGTTTGTTGCTTTACCTTTCCAAATTGAAGTTTTCAATAACTTACACTTTCATTAAGATTTTATTGTTCGTTCCAGCTAACTGCATCCCACGCCAGGCTGAAAACCTCTTGAGTGTTTATATGAGAAACTGAAACTGAGGAAAAGTTTTATTATTCTATCTTCCTACCAAAACCCATGTTTCAGCTTCCAGCTCTTCTTGCTGTGTGTTAAATGGTTACCCAAGAGAGAACAGACACAACTTGTGGTTAAGAAGAATTGCAGACGTCTGCCATAGGACAGTTCTTCTGTTCACTAAGCAAGTCAGGTAAGTACTTGGACCATAAACAGAAGGAATTACATCTATAGCAGCTTTCTCATATTGACATTATGTATTAAAATTAGCAGTATTACTTCTCATAGAATCATAGAATCAATTACAGGATGGCTTGAGTTGGAAAGGACCTCAACAATCCAGTCAACCCCCCTGCTATGGGCAGTTTTGCAAACCACTAAATTAGTCACTTTTCTTTCAATTTCTTCAATTTAATGAAGATCTGGTCAGCTTAAGCTCTTTAGAGAAATTGAGAACTACCACGGAAAGTTACTCTCCTACCATGGCGTGTGTTTTTACAGTCCATTCTAACTTAAATCACAGTTTCACAAACCAGAGATGCTTGGGAAGATAATGTCAACTATACAAATTATTTGATATTACAAGGATAATTAGAAGATGTATCCTGAACTTGTCAACTTACAACTATGCTTCAATTTACTCAGCAATAGGACCAACTAAAGTGAGGCACAGGGAAGAGGGGCAGGCAGATGCCCCTGCACACGGGAATTATTTCAACTGTATTTTTAAAGTGTTTACAGTCATCATCCTAACTTCATAAATAACTGCTCTCTGCAACTTCCACCTAGAGACCTAAAGAGCTTTCTGAAAATTTACACAGTGCTTCTTGAACAGGATGGCCTGAACCAATACCACTATTAATGAACCTCCATCTCCTTTCCCAGAACCTCTGCTTTCACTATTTCTCTTCTTCTTTTCTTCCTTTTTTTTTTTTTTTTAAGTCAATCTATTACTCTTACTATCAAGCCATAAATCATACAATGGCCAGGGAAACTCTGCTGTGCTATTTGAGGTACAGGAACTTGAAGGTTGTGTTAATTTCAATGGTCTGTGGCAGTGAATCAGGCAAGACCTGAGAGCAGCCTTTTAGTATCTAAGGGAGGGCAGTGAGAAAGAAGGGGACAGATTCTTCAGCAGGGTCTATTGTGATAGGACAGGGGAAACGGTTCCAAACTAAGAGAGAGGAGATGTAGATTGGATGTATGGAAGAATATCCAACTTTACAGTAAGGGTGGTACAGGTTGCCTGGAGTGCGGTTGGACTTAACGATCTTGAAGGTTTTTTCCAGCCTGAGCAATTCTATGATTCTAGGATTCTATGAGTGGTGGTGGATGCTGCATCCTTGGAGGCACTCAAGGTCAGGCTGGACTGGGCTCTGAGCAACCTGATGTAGCCTGCAGGTGTCCCTGCTCAATGCAGAAGAGCTGGACTAGGTGGCATTTAGGGGTCCCTTCTGACTGAAATGATTCTATGATTCTATGAATCACAGAGTAAACACAATTTTTATCCCACGTGGAAGTAGAAGAAGCTTCTTCTGAACAGACGGTGGAGAGCGAGTTCTGTTTTTCTTCTGAAATGAAGGACACTGGGAGACATTCTTATTAGTTTTTCCCTTTAGTCAAGAATGGAAAACCAACAATCAAAGCAATAACAAGGGAGAAAGGGATTAAAAAAAAGAGAGAGAGAGAGAGAGAATGAATATTCTGCACGCTCAAAAGCACAAAATTACAAATCCTATCACTGTAGTAGGTACCAATATTATCAACCAGCCAGGGCCCGTCGGCGTACGCCAGCCTCGGGGCAGGAGCCGCGGGGCTGCGAATACCCGCAGGCTTCGGGGCGGAGGCAGACGGCCGAGCGGGCGTGGTTAAGCCGTACGGGCGTGGCTACGCGGCTCGGGGGCGTGGGCCGCCATCCCCCCGCGGCGGAGCGGGGGCGCGCGGCTGTCGGCTGCTGGAGCGCGAGCGCGGTGGAGCGGCCGCTCTCATTGGCGCGCCGGGACAAAGTGGCCGGAGCGGCTGGGAGCTGAGCGGAGCTGGGCGCCGCGTGCCGCCGGCCGCGCGCGGGGCGGCGGGGGGAGGTGGAGGCGGCGGCGCGCCGCGCCGCGGAGGACCAGCCCCACCCCCGCGGGGGGGGGGCGGCAGCAGCGGCGCCGAGAAGATGAACCGGAGCTTCAACAAATCTCAGACTCTGCGGTATCTGGAATGCAGCGCAGTGGAAGTGAAGAGTAAGGTGAGCGCGGCCTCGCCGCCGGCCGTACGGCCCGGGGCGCCGAGGGCGGGCAGGCGAGGTCTCCGCTCCCGGCGGTGCGGGCGGGCGCGAGGGGCCCCGTGCCCGTCGCCGCCGCTCGATCTTTTGTTTCGCCGCCGGCGCTCGCTCGACGGGGCAGTGCGGGGAGCGCCGCCGGCCCGGTACCGTTCCGTTTTGCCTCGCCGCCGACCGGACGCGTCTCGGTGTCCCCGGCCGCTCACAGGTGCTGCGGATGCCGGGGCTTCAGCCGGTACGCCTCCGCGTGGGGAAACGCGCGTGGAAGCGCAGGAAGGCTGCCCGGCCCTCGTCACCTGCCCGGCGGCGGGATGGCTGCTGCCCGAGGGGCGTTCGGCTGCCTCGGTCCTCACTGCCACCGAAATGTTGCGGGGTTACGGGTGTCCGTCGTGCTCCCGCAGCCGGGCAGTTTGTACTGCTCCCCAGGTGGGACGTGGCCCCTGCACTTATGGCGAGTTGTGGTCCCGTTCAGTGAGTGCCGAGTGGTGCCCTAAACGCGTAAACTCTAATCTAGAGCACTGGCCATAGGTGAGAATTGCACTCTTTTCGTTTAGCTTAACGTATCCATAGCGTGAGCTCGTTCCCTAAATAACAGCTTTAAGAGAGTCCTATAACAAAGACTCAGAGCCCTGTTTACAGCTGCAGCTGTCTCGTAAGCGAGCCCTGTGTAGGTGCAGGGTGGTAGGGGGCTGTGAGCATACTGTTGTGGATGGTGAGAGGGAGCTACTTGGTACTCATTGAGTGGTGTCCTGCTGTGCGTAAAGCCCACGGGGTCCTTCTTATGCCATTGAACTGTGGTGGGGATGGAGCCAGCAAAAAGCTCTGGTCAGTGGTGCCACATGAGGGGCTGTGTGGGACTGGATGAAGCTGCTGTTGGTAGCTCCCAAGCAGTCAGTTGCCTCTGTTTTGCAAGCACGAGGCCTGCCCCAGCCTGCCAGAAAACCAGAAAGTTGAGTCTGCGTGCTGTTGGTTGGTGCCTGTCGGGCAGCAGCGCTGGGACCTGGCTGGTTGCTCCTGGGCACCGTGTTGCAGCCACCAGCTTATGGGGCTTGGGTGGCTTCAAAGGGCTGGGCTCTGTTGTGGAGGGGCTCAGTGGGAGCATTGCCTTGGCACATGGTGCGAGGCATTCCTCTCCTTGTGGGTTGAGTCAGATCTGGAGGAGCTGTGGGGAGTCATATAGGCTGCAAACTTGACTTCTAAATTTTATTTATTTATTTATTTAGCCTATGGCGTGATAGCCAGGTGATTTCCTGCCTACGCCCAGCTGGTGTGTTGTGTTAGGCCGCTGCGTGGAAATGGCTCCTGTGAAAACGAACAGAACGCTTTCTGGATTAGTTGAGGACTGGCTATACCCGAATGTTATTTCTGTTCTCCAAAAGAAAGACCTTGGAAATCAGTTTGCGCCTGTAGTTATTGGAATGGGAGAGTTTATCACATCCTTGGTACTGTGCTGGATGAAACAGTTGTTTAGCAGTCCCCAAATACCTGTAAATTTTAAGATTTCTGATGTGTGTAAGAGGATTATTTTTTTAAAAAAAAAACAAAAAACAAAAGCAAAAAAAACTTTAAAAAAGGGAAGGAGCATCATGGTGGCTAAGCTCACTGATTCATAAATGCCTTTCTTACACACAGTAAGTATGTGAGCTCTGTGATGAGGGGATTGTAGCTGCTCTGAACCTGGACCGAGCCAGGCCTGTGGCCATAGGTGGGGACATGGCTGTGTCCATGGTTATTCTGATGCCTTGCAGTTTTTGCAGCAGGAGATTTGGGAGTGACTCTCTGCCTGCTGGTCTCTAAGCCTAGCTTTGTGGCACAGCGTAACGTGTCCTGGTGTGCATCAGGCCAGCTTTTTTCTTTGGGCAAATGGAAGATGTTTTAGAAGTCTCCTGGTCACTGACTTGCAGTAGGTTCCGAAGGGGAGGAGGGAATATGAGCCCTCTGCATGCATCTGCTCGCAAACATGGCAGTTACGGTAATTGCAATTGCAGAGTCTTGTGCTTTAGGGAGCCGTCTTCCTTCAGGCCCTGTCCTGCCCCCATCTCCGCCCCTGAAGCCGGCCTTATAATCAAAGCACTTATGAGCTTATTGCTGGATGGGAGAGGAAGGAGAAGGAGAAACCTGCTTAGAAATTGGCACATGTCAAAGGAAAATAATAATTGAATTGTAATTATATCTTCTCCCTTTTCTCTACTTCAGTGTTTCTCAACAGAGTAAATTAGAAGCTCAGTTGTTATCTAGGTGTTGTCCCTGCTGCTCGAAATAAGTGTTCCAGCCCTTTTAGACAGGATCTGAAGCCACTTTATCTTGCAGGCCTGAAAGAGCTGTGTATTCTCCTGTGTCTCGTACTCGCCCAGTCTGGTGACAAGTGGCGTGGCTGCTCCCTTTGAAGAAATTACCTCTAATCTCTAAAAAAAGGTTTCCAGATGACTCTTTCTCTCCCGTTCACCAAGATTTCCAGAGCAAACAACGTGTGGAGATTCTTGTTTTATTAAGAATCCTTCCTGTTGGCACTGGATCACAAACCTATTCTTCGTTTCTCTCTCTAGCTTTACTGAGAGGTTGAAGGCCCCTCTCTTTGTGAATGTATGCCTACAGAAGAACCAGAACTTATAAAATAGGAATTCCTGCATTAATACTAAGACTTCCTCTTTAATTACAGTTCTGTGTAGTCCATGTTCTTTCACTCTCCTCCAGTTGAGTGAAAAACTGCATTATTTTCTGTAAGCTGTATATATCTATAAGAATTCTTTCTCGGGTTTTCAAAATAGTTAGTTGCCTGAAAAAAAACGATCCTTTACAAAAGCCACCTTGTTTAGCTGCCTGTTGAAGAGTGAAAACTTGGAGCAGTAGTTGAGGACTATGAAAGTACAGCTGCCTGACTCGGGTGCTGTTTTGGATGCTTGGTGGTAGACCTTGACACTGCTGCCATGTTAATAGTGTCATGTTTTCTTGTACTACAAGCTGATATACAAATTAACAATGTGACTAACATCCTTCTACTGTAAACAAGCCCATTAAGATAAATGTACCAGTAAACCATAACTGTATTTCCTTTGCTCTCTTCTCTCACCTAATTTCTGCTTTGTTCCACTGAATGTTGATGTCTGTCTGAATGCCACTACTGGATTTTTAATAAACTTTCAGCTATATTCTGTTGTATCCACAGTATGAGTGTGAGATTGATGTGGGCCTTGAGGATAGGGCATGCTTGTGGTCAACCGTGCTCTGGGTTTTTACCTGGTAACTAACAGGGAAAATAGTGGCTTCAAGTCTTGAGCATGCGTATGAGCTCGATAGTGCTTTAGCAGCTCTCCTCCCAGCTGCTGTTTGGGTGTAACAGCCTAACACCTCTGGAGTGCCTTATCCTGCCTTCGTGTCATCTCCTTTTGTTGGAAATGTATGTGTACCCATTACGTAAAAATACCTGGTTTAACCTTCAGCATCCTTTCTTTTTCCTCCAAAAGTTGCTGGTACGGTTCAGATACCTTAGCAATCTGTGTCAGTAGAGATAAGAACAAACTTACGCCATTTCTGTGCGAAGAGATTGTAAAGTTCTGCTGCTTCTCTCTCAAGTTAGCTTAGTAAGAGAGGCCTACAGATCATATTTCCCAGCCTTGTGCACTTTTACTGATCTCACTCTAACTCTGAGAGTTGTACAGGCCTTTTGGAGTTCAAGGGATGTTTTCCATGTGTTACATGCTTCAAAAATGATGAGAAAGCTGAAAATCCTGTATGTTTAAAAAGTCTTCAAGCCTGCTTTGTGTTTTTAAGTAGTACTTTAGTTTCTTCCAAGTTAGGATCCTATTTATCATACCTAGAACACAATGAAAATAAGCGCAGTGAAAAACTCAACGACCAGATGTTTGAACTGCTGGTTTGGAGCTTCAAAATATTTGATTACATGCAAAACAAATGTGGCATGGTCTCAGAAAACCACAGAGCTTCCCTTTTCAAAATGAGGACGTTATGCCACAGCAACATCAGCTCAAGTCAGTCTGGATTTTTGTAAAATGTATCAACAGTAGATACTTAGCCTTTGAACATCAGTCTTTGAAGAGGTCTTTCCCTTGTTCCCTTCCCTCCCAGCTTGCAGGGCTTTTGACTGTACGTACAGTGGTTATTGCATTGTACTAAGCAGCATTTGCTAAACTGCTGATTACTCTATTATTACGACTCCTTGTTTTCCCTAGCAGGATAATTCTCTGAAGCGGTCATGCTTGATAAACTGAGGTCTGTCTTTGAATGTTAGGTCATTTGAGAGAAAGTGACTGCAGCTTAACAAGTTACCATCCATCAGCTGAGCCCTGTGCTTGCTCAGTGCCTTTCACAGGTAAGAAGCCAAACTTCCCAGCTGCAAAGAGAACCATTCTGCAGTGGTTCTGCTACCTTGTGTTTTGGCATTTCCCATACTCTCCTGTGCTTGATCCACCTCCAGGTTCTCACCCTTGCTTTTGTGGTCACTTTTATGCTAGTGACTTAGGAATTCCTGATCTGCTTGAAATTCCATCCAACAAGCCTGTCTTATGGAGTCGTCTTCTAGATTTCCGTCTCGCCACACTGAAACTGTCCTGAAGGCCACAGAACAACGGACCTTTAATTTGCTGGGATGCTCTTTAAAGTTGAAAAGCTGTTTACAGCTGGAGTCAGAAAGGAATGTCTTCTGTTGCAGGCTAAAATACCTGTGGAGGCTCCATCTGGCAGCCTGCAGGACCAGCCACCTCTGAGAAGTTCTTCAGGGCTGCAATTAATAGCGCTTTCCTCAGTAGTGCCTTATCATGCCTTTGTGTGCGCTTTTACTAACCAAGAAACACTCTCCCAAAGATTGATTGCTTGCCCCTAATTACATTTACAGTGCAGCCAGAAGTTAAGGATGAAATGTACCTCCTGAGACATTCCCTCCCTGGAAGTGAAGGCAAGGTCTCCCAGCACAGTTAGTGCCGCTCCCATTGGAAATTCCTGCAGTTAAT